AACCTATTTTGGCTGAAAATGGAAAAGAGGAGAGAAATGATCTGAAGGCCCCTGGGTTTTACATTAGAGGAGGAATGTAGAACCACCCTATCATTTTCATTCCTTCCTCAGTCTTCTTGTGTAACAATGTCCTTTTAGATGTGAACTCAACAAACTGCCCACCTGGAATTTCTAAGAACTTCATCTGCTCAGGGATTCTACCAAGGACTATCTAATGGGATAGTGTGACAGTTGTTACCTCAATATCAACATAATGAAGTCAGTGTCTCCCCCAAATATTTACCAACTTTCCCTTGGATTATGTGAAGGCCCTGCCATCTTTGAGCATATCTAGCCCTTTCAATATCATTCCTTCCTTCATTCAACAGGTGTGTCCTTGCTGCCTGTGTCAGATGCAGTGCGTAGCACTCAGGATATAATGAACAAGGTAAAGAAGACCCTGCCCTTGTGGCACTTCCCTAGGGTCTGTGGCTTCCTTGTGAATTGGCAGTGTCTGTATAACATTGATTGACAAGAAGCTCCAGTCTCGAGTTTTATTGGTCGGTATTCACCCATTATAAGAGGTAGAATTTTATTTTCTTTGGGTCTAAAATGATTTCAATGTAAAACTCTCTTAAATCTTTATAATGGGCCCAGCACTGATCCTTGTTTCTACCGGAAGAACCTGGCACCAAAGCTTGAGAAGCAGAATGCACAGAATACAGCCTGAGAAAGCTGCAAAGTCACTCCTTTTCTCTTTGACCTAATTTAAAACTGCTAATCCTACTGTCCCAAGGACTCTACAAGAAGTGTTTGGACTGGAAGGGCTGATTCCAAGTGACTCGAACATCATCCACAAAACTGAAGTACGTACAAATATCTGTGGAGGTCTTAGGTCAACCAATAGCATTAACAATACTGGAATCTAATTTTCTACAGCGGTTTTTATCCCAAGTCCATTTACAGTCCCTCACCTGTCCATAGACACAGTCCCACCAGATACAACACAGATGGTTCATGGTGAGCCTAGCTTATGCCAAAGGGTTTACTCTATAGAATTGTCTTGAAGAAGGCAGCAACTTTAGTTATATGTTCAAAGTAATCCCTCTGAGGTCACAGCAGTGATAACTGTCATGTTGGGAGTTCACACCTGGTGCCTCCTTCAGTTTCATCATCCCTAAAATTGGTGTTAAAATTATACCCGTGTCATAGTGTTGATGTACTTCCAATTCCTAGCATCATGGCCTTGAGTCACCATCCTTGAAATAAAGCATTTAGACCAGAAGATCAGCAAGTTTCTCCCAACTCTAAAATATCCTGTGATTTTGTTGCCTCCATGTTCCTTTATTTCTTCTCTTGGTTCTTTTCTTAAATTAATAAGTGAAAAAGTGCTGATTGTCATTGTTTATGACCAGCCTTTTAGATTTGCCATTGATTGACATTCCTGTCACTTTCTTTGTTTTTATTTCTATTTTTAAAAAATATGTTTTATTGACTCTAGAGAGAGAAGAGCGAGAGGTAGAGAGAAACATCAATAAGAGAGAGAAACATCGATCTGCTGCCTCCTGCATGCCCCCTACTGGGGTTAGAGCCTGTAACAGATGATAGAGCCTACATGTGCCCTGACTGGGAATCAAACCAGCGAACTTTTGGTGAATAGCATGACACCCAACCAATTGTCACACTGGCCAGGGCTCCCCTCTCTAAACTCCAATCCCCACAGACACACAGTCAAGAACTAATTAGAGCCCTGCAGCGACTCTCAAAACCGCTACTGCTTTCTTTTGGATAGGAGTATTCCTACATCAAAGATTACACTTAAGATTGCTTTCAGTATATTAGGAATGTTGATTTCTAATCTTCCAGGTAATAAAGGACCAGGCAAAATAATTGTAGGTCTACTCAACAATGGTTTCAATCTCGCTGCAGAGCTGTGATCATTTCTAGGTTATTCCACTTAAAAAATATGGAGCTTTTGCCGAAACCAGTTTTGCTCAGTGGTAGAGCGTCGGCCTGCAGACTGAAAGGTCCCAGGTTCGATTCCGGTCAGGGGCATGTATGTTGGTTGCGGGCACATCCCCGGTAGGGGGTGTGCAAGAGGCAGCTGGTCGGTGTTTCTCTCATCGACGTTTCTAGTTCTCTATCTCTCTCCCTTCCTCTCTGTAAAAAATCAGTAAAAATATATTTTAAAAAAATATGGAGCTTTTAAGGAGACTTCAAAGTGGAATCAAATAACTGAAAAACAGAATATCTAAAACCTTTTTAAAAATTAGAATCACTTAGCTTGGTAAGAAGTGGCAGAAGGCAAACTTAATAATGGCCTCCAGACTTGAAAGGTTTTTGCAAAAGAACTGTAACAAATAATTGTGAATCTCTCTTCAGAACAAGAAAACCCCCCTTTTGAGTGCTTGGTGTTTGCAGATGCACCTATTTTCCTTACTGACCTATTGCACAAAGCAGTCTGATTTTCTCGTCTCCCCGAGTTTTATTGGTCTGTATATTAACTAACGTTTATTGGTTTGCTCAATGTAAGGAAATTCCTGGTGAAAGATTAATTTCTAATCTGCTTCCCTCTTATACTGTTATGAAATAAAGGATAATTGTAAGGAATGTGGGTGTGCGAGCTCTGTGCTGAATGCCTGCGTTTTCCCGCCCATTAAAGACCATTCCTAGCACTAAAAGGAGCCCTGGGCTTGGAACTTCCATAGGAGACCTCCCTCTTGTCTCAACAGGTGGCTTAAGAACTCTTCGTCTTTTTTATTCAGGATCATGAAGAGGAAGAGTCCACATACCTATCACATTGGGAGAGAAGAAAAGCAGAAAAAGGACTGCTTCCCCATTATCTCTTTAAGATTGCCCCAGCCCTCACTGATTGGAGGGAAAAAGCAGACGCTGGTCAAAGGTGGCTGCAGGGTGGAGTCGTAATAAAGTGGATACAAAGTGTGTTTGCCAAAAATGTTATGCACGTTATTGCCTCCAATCTTATCAATAAAACCTCATGAAAGCGAACACTACTGTCACCATATTACAGGTGAGAAAGCTGAAACTCAAAATGGCTAAGTAACAGCCAGAAAGAAATGGAGCTGAGACTCAAGACCACATTTGTCTCACTCCAAATCCTGGATCTTAACTGCACTGTATGGCTCCCCGGATTCGAAGGGGCTCTACTCCGAGCCCTGGCAGGCCAGTAAAGCTGCGAACGTAGGACAAAGGCTACCAGCTCTCAACGAGGGAAGCAGTGGCTACCATGACTTCCAGCAGCAAAGCAGAGATTGAAAGCCATGTGTGGAGCTACCTCTCACCTGGGGCCCCTGCAAAATTCAAACTCTGGGTAAGCAAGTCAGAGAGAAGAGCCCAAGACTGCCAATAAGAGATCTCCACACAGTGTCATTAGCTATTGTGGAAAGCAACAGCCAGGCTGATTCAAGGCTCAAACCAACTAAGGGAGGGGGGGAGAGCCAAGAATAGAACTAAGTTTAGACTCATTTGGATTGGGATCAATATCACACAGTGTTTAAAAATAGAGTGTACCCACAGAGCTGTGACACTGAGCAGGTCTGCCTCATTATCGCAGAAGCAGGCCTTTCTGTCCTCTGCTCTTTTTGTAAGTTGCCATTACATGTGGGGGAATATGGCCAAACCAGTGTGTTCAGCTCTCTGAACCAGGCAAGGTTCTATGTGCGTCCTTTAGACCAGAAGGCTTGGTCCTCTGCACACCTTCATGCGTCTCACAGAGCTTATGTAACCTAGAGATGACATTTATAGCAATCTACACCCTTTGGGGTAAAGGTATAAGTAATGCAAATTAACATGTAGCTATGCAAATCCAAGTGCTGGAGCACCAACTCTCTTGCCCAGTAGTTGCATCCTCTGTCCACTCTTTATTCTTTGTGTTTTAAATTCAGAGCTCTGGCCCTAACCAGTTTGGCTTGGTTGATAGAGCTTTGGCCTGCGAACTGAAGGGTCCCAGGTTCGATTCTTGGTTGTGGGCACATCCCCAGTGGGGAGGGTGCAGGGAGTGGCTGATCAATGTTTCTAGCTTTCTATCCCTCTCCCTTCCTCTCTGTTAAAAAAAAAATCAATAAAATATATTTTAAAAATAAAATAAAAATAAAGAAATTCAGAGCTCTGGGCATCTTGATGCCATCTTTCCTGCCAGTAGGATCTCATTTACTGCCTAAATGCTTTCAACTGGAGATAATGTTGAACAATATTCTCTGTTTAGTTGGCTGACTTTAATTGAAGCATTACCAAGAACATCTTTTGATCCAAAGAAGCGCACCTGGAAGAACAAAGCAGGCTCATCTGAACAAACAGACCCTGTGAAAATGATTTATTCTTGATTCAGGGTTTAGAAAACAGAGCGTTACCCTTCTTTCTTAAAGCAAACGTTCTTTGAAGGCAGAGCCACTGCAGCTAGTCTGATGCAAGTCTGTAGACTGAGATGAATATGTGAGTTCTTAGGAACTATAAAGCACTATACCCAGCATTGAAAAGGACACACACACACACACACACACACACACACACAACTCATAGATAAAACAGATCGCTGCTTGCAGGAATGGGTGGGGGCAGGTGAAATGGGTGAAGAGGATCAAATGGTTTGTACCTAAATAAGTTATGGGGATTTAATATACACATGGCAAATATGGTGAGTCATGCTATATTATATATGTGAAAGTTGCTAATAGAGTAGATTTTAAAAGTTCTCATCACAAGGAAGAACTTTTTTTGTAACTAAGGTGATGTATACTATCTAAATTTATTATAGTGATGGTGTCACAATACAGGGTGGGCAAAAATAGGTTTATAGTGGTGAATGCACAAACACAGAGTTTATTCTTGTATTATTATTTATCAATTATTATACTATTTGTCAATTATTGTGTTATTTATTTGTATTGCAACTATAAACCAACTTTTTCCCACCTGTATTTATTTAAGTATTGAATCATTGTGTTGTTATACCTGAACTAATATAATGTTACATGTCAATTATTTCCCTTTTTTTTTTTTTATGGCTCTTTTCAGTTTATTGCATGAAGGAGTTACACTAGTCCAAGTTAAAAGCAGACCCGAAATGGTTACATCATACAAGCTGTGAGGTTTTTAAACTTGTGACAAGGGACAGGAGGGAAATTCTACTCATTGCAAAGAAATCCTCACTTAAGCTTCTGAGCCAAAAGCACTTAAAACCCATGAACCTTCAGCTGGTCGTCCTTAGCCAGTCCAATCTCGACGAGGAACTGGCATATGTTCTTGCGCTGGTCACCCTGCAGCTGGACGGTGGTAAGGGTCTTCCTGCCGTTTCTCTGTTGAATTCTTATATGGATATAATCCTCAGTGCCAGCGGGAAGCAGATCATCACCCTTACTTGCATCAGCAAAGGGGTCGAAAGAGCGAAGGTTCTGGATAGCGGACATAAGATACGATTCCTTTTCCTGGGTGGAAACGGCCTGAGGAAGGCTGCGGCGGGAGAAGGCGGGCAGGGGAGACGGAGCGTCGGGAAGTGAGGGGGGGTTGGAGTGGGAGGTTGCTGAGTCCTCGGCGGCGGCTCAGTCACTGGGGCCTATTTCCCAATTTTTAAAAAGGAAATAAAGTTAAAGGTTTTTATAAGATTATTATAAAAAACGAGGGTGCTCTTTCTGTGCTGACTAGAAACTTTGCCACGATATAATGTTAAATGAAAGAAAAAAGAAAGATGCAGAAGAGAACAGTATGGTATTATTAATGTTTTATATGGTATATTTGAAAAGATGCAAAAGAAACTGGTAACAATGGTTGTCTTCCGGAAGAAAGCTGGACCTCTCTTTACATGTTACAAGTTCGACCCACAGGCTTTCGACATTGATCTTAGGGATCTGATGGCCAATGGCCGAGATCACAGCTCTTACTGTGTCTTAGACGAAGAGTTATTTTCTGAGTGAAAAGTACTACAGGTTTTCTTTCTATTCATGTGTCTCATATAGATTTTCACATGTGGTAAACCCCAATTTACTTTCCAAATCTCCACCCAGTTGGCGATTTATTCAGACTTTGAATGGCTTCCAGGTTCTTTCCACCTTGGGCAGAATCCAAGCGGACTGACTCTCAGATAAATCATCCCCTCCTCACTTGTGTGTGCGTCCTGTCAGTACTTCTGGGAACGTTATTTTGTCAAGTCAGCGTAAATGTGTGTGTTTTTAAAATGTTAAATTGCAATGGGAAATAGGAAGCCTGAGAAAAAACAAGACTGCAGATAAAAAGAGTGAGCAAAAAAAAAAAAAAAGAAAGAAAGAAAGAAATAAGGAAGAAAAATCAAGGATTAAGTTAGTTAAGGCCTAAAGTGAGAAGGATTACCTGAAGGCATTAAGAAAACTAAAAGCCATCAAAAACTAGTTTAAAAATATTCCTGGGGACTCTTTCCCCCTCCCCACATAGGAGTCTATACTTGTTCTTCAATAAATTTCCACCTTTGCTATACAATATATATATAGCAAAGGTGGAATATATATATATATATATATATATATATATATATATATATATATATATATATATATATAGCAGGGGAGTTGACCACTGCAGAGGGTGGTTTATTTGCATTTTTTTTTCCTTTACTGTATTCATCCTAAAATGGAGTGTATATATATCCCATGCAGGGTGCAAATTTATCCATTGGGATACAGAATTAAAAATTAGAATTTTTATCTTTATATTTTTAGTTCCATATGTATTTAGTTCCAACATGTATTATTCCGTACATCATGTATTTTTTCAGTAGTACAGTAGTCCTCCTTTATTCATGGTTTCACTTCCTATGATTTTGGTCACCTTTGGTTGGCCAAGGTCTGGAAATATTAAGTGGAAAGTTCCAGAAATAAACAGTTCATACGTTTTAAATCGCATGCCTTTCTGAGTAGTGTGACGAAATCTTAGGCATCCCCCTCCACTCGCCCAGAAAGTGGCTCATCCCTTTGTCGGTTATCACCACGTCACAGATGTTCCCTGCCTGTGAGTCTCTTAGTAGCCACCCCAGTTATTGGACCCACTATTGTGGTCTCACAGCGCTGTGTTCGGTTGGCCCTTATTTTACTTATTAATAACCCCAAAGCACAAGAGTCATGATGCTAGTGATTCAGAAATGCCATAAAGTCATTCCTTTAAGTGAAAAAGTACTTGTGTGTAGGAACAAGGTAGTATATAGAGGGTTTGGCACTATCCATGGTTTCAGGGGGTCTTGGAACATATGGCCCACAGAGGGGGAACTAGTATACAGTCATGAGCTACATAACAACCTTTCAGTCAACAACAGAACCCATAAACAATAGTGGTCTCTTGAATTAAAATGAAGCTGAAAATCTATTGATATATTGTCTAGTAGTGAGTCATTGTCATGTGGCAGCGCATGCATGACTCGTGTTTGTGGTGATGTGCGGCCAGTCGTGTGAAAGTACAGCACATGCAGTTATGTACAGTACAGAGTACTCGCTAATAAATGACTGTGTTAATGGTTTACATATTCACTATACCATAACTTTTATCATACTTTTACAGTGTACTCTTCTTACTTATTTAAAGAAGTTTACTGTAAAACGGTATACCATGTTACACCTGCAGCAGCCTTATTCATCTGTTTACTGCATCTCTTGATTGCATCATTTTCTCTTGCGCTTGTATTGTTTTGTTCATTATGGCCCCTAATTGTACAAAACCTGCTCCTTAGGTTTCCAGTAAGAGGCCACATTGAGCGATTGACCTGAAAAGGAAGGTAAAAGTAACTAAGGACTACGCAGGTGGAAAGTCAGTGATGGTTATTGCTCATGAGTGAGGCACGTTCCCTTCCACCACAGCTAAGATCTTGAAGAACAAGAGCAACGTGACAGAAGCTGTTCAAGGACCTGCTTCACAAAAGAAAAGAAAACTTCAAGAAGGGCTTCTGTCAGACCTGGAGAAACTCCTAATGCCCTGGGTTGAAGGCCAGACACCGTGTGTGTCCCTCTCAGCTCCAGGACCATCACAGCCAAAGCAGCAGGTTTGTTGGCGATGTTAACAGGCTGGACCTGCCTGTGGTGTTGAATTGACTGCTAGCTCTGGGTGGGTTCGATGAGCCAGGAGTTGTTATTCCTTACACAATATGAAAGTGCATGGTGCTGATTCTGGGAGTGCAGATGTGAAGGCGGCTAAAGACTTTTTGGAAACTCTAGATGTGCTGACTGTGGAGGGAAATTACCTGCCAGAGCAGATAGTCCTTGTGGATGAAACCCCCCTGTTCTGGAAACGGATGCCAGAAAGGACTTTCATCCGTAGGACCAATGCCAAATCAGTGCCAGGTTTCAAGACTTTAAGGACAGGATACTAGCCTTGCTTGGGGACAATGCTGCAAGCCACAAATTGAAGCCCTTTTACTCTGACACGGCTTTCAAGCATATCAACAAGCACACACTGCCAGTGTGCCACAGAGGCAATTGATGGGTGAGGCAGCTCCTCTCCCATGATGCCCTCCTGAGTACGGTACCACCCTGGGCCTTCACATTCACTCCCCACTCCCTGACTCACCAAGGGCAGCTTCCAACCCTGCAAGCTCCACTCATGGTAAGTGCTGGTACAGGTGTACTATTTTTTGTCTTTTATGCCATATTTTGCTGTACCTTTTCTATGGTTAGATATAGACACACAAATATCATTGTGTTATAATTTGCCTACAGTCTTCAATATAGTACCATGCTGTAGAGGTTTGTAGGGTAGGAACAATGAGCTCTACCAGACAGCCCATGTGGTAGGCTATACCACCTAGGTTTGTGTAACTGCACTCTGCAATGTTTGCACGGTAATGTTTGCATTTCTCAGAAAGCATCCCCATCATTAAATGACTCATGACTGCAAGTATGACATGGTGACTATAGTTGATAACACTGTATTGTACAATTGAAATTTGATAAGAGTAGAGCTCAAACATTCTGGTAGGGAGGAAGGGAGGGAGGGGGAGGGAGGGAGGGGGGAAGAGAAGGGAGGGAGGGAGAAAGGGAAGGAAGGAAGGAAAGAAGGAAACCTCCATCACACACCTGCCTTCACATCTCTCATGAGTATATCTGATTGGAGAAACCCAACTTATGGTTAGAACCAGCTACAAGAGATTTTGGACAATATAGCTTTTAGCTTTCCAGCCCTTGCAGCACACAAAGGCATAAAGAATGAATTAGGAATAAATGTCAATCCAATATAACTAACACAAATGCTATCAGGCTAAAATAGTCTAATGTGTTCATTTCACAGCAAGCCTGAGATTGCCCGCAGCACCTTCCAACTGTAACCTCCTGCTAAAATTGAAGGACAAAGGCCATCTGCTTTCCTATGTTAAATTCTCGGAACCTACTACAGTTCCAATCGCTATCTCTTAAATGAAAAACTACCACACAACGTTGTAGAGTGGCTAAGAAGATGTTCTTTGTTGCCAGAGATATCTGAATACAAGTACTGATGTCTCCTCATCTGTGAACTAGCTAAAAATAATGAAATTTCTGTTTTTAACTTTTTGAGGAAACTCCATATCATTTTCCATAGTGGCTGTGCCAATTAACAATCCTGCCAACAGTGCACGAGTGTTCCCTTTCCTCCACATACAGGTCAGCACTTGTTATCTTCAACAGATATTCTTTTTGTTGCTGTTAATCCTCACATGAGGATATTTTTAGAGAGAGTGGAAGGGAGGGAGTGAGATGGGGAGAGAGAGAGAAAAAGAAGCATCAATGTGAAAGAGACACATCTCAATTGGTTGCTTCCGGAACATGCCTCAACAGGGGCTGGGGATCTAACTTGCAACCCAAGTATGTGCCCTGAATGGGAATTGAACCCTCAATCCTTTGGTGCTTAGGCAATGCTCTCACCAGTTAACACACTGGCCAAAGCTTCAACAGATATTTAAATATATATTATATTGATTTTTTACAGAGAGGAAGGGAGAGGGAGAGAACATTAGAAACATTGATGAGAGAGAAACATTGATCAGCTGCCTCCTGCACACCCTCTATTGGGGATGTGCCTGCAACCAAAATACATGCCCCTGACCAGAATCGAACCTGGGACCCCTCAGTTTGCAGGCCTACGCTCCATCCACTGGGCCAAACCAATCAGGGCTCCAACAGATATTCTTAATCTCTTCATGTATGGCTCCACTTTTTGTTTTTATTTTAGAGAATTTTCCCGACTCAATATGAAATATTTGTCATTTTGTTTCTGATACTATTCATTTTATAACCACAATTTTAATGTCTGTAAAATATGCTGGCAAGGGTTATATCATAATATACAAGATTTCCCCCCAAAAAAAATGTATGCACACTCTAACAGCTGATAGCTCAATTCTGAAAATGAAATGTACTTTCATAAACACTGCCTTTAAATTATTCAAAGTGTGCCTATGTCTTGGGATATTACATTTTCCCCCAACAGTTTGCTATTTAAAATAATCTGATGCACATCTTTTTCCCTGTCTTTTCCCATATTTTATATAATTGAGACCCAAATATATGAAGATTTCATTGTTCTTATTCATGGTTTCCAGTGTAGA